CTTCAAGCCAGTCACAACGCGGTTTATTCGATTGTACCCAGAGCGGGGAGCGTTGGTTTCCCTGCCAGCATCAGGGGTCACCATGATCGCGCAGATAATTAGCTCGTATGGTGTGCGTTCAGCTGCGGCGCTCAGATCTAGGACTATGATTACCACGCACTGACTCGGGTGGCCCGAAAGGATAAGTCGGCTCAACGGTTGCCTGATTCGATCTTCGGTTTCGGCTAGAGGTTGTTACAAGCAAACCGGAAGTGTCTCAATCGACGAGACCTGACCTCAAGAGGCGAACTGTTATACACCTCTTTATCTTTATCCTTTTATGATCTTAATTCAAATCGCCTTTTTACACATTTTGTTCATTAATTTCTCGGAAAGACAGTGGAGTGGAAGTGATAAAGGACAGAAGCACGCCGACCTACACGTACTTAGAGCCAGCCTACCAGAAACCTATCTAAAGTGGCGGGAATACGCCATCAAATGTAGCGGAATCACCGACGTTCTTGGTGTTTTGAATAAGTCTTCGATCCTGTTGTCCTTGACATTACTATTTACCAAATGTACCGATGGGGCACATTGGCTGGCCAAGCCACCGGTACTGACTCCGTGATGCACACTCTAATGACTAGGAAATCGGCGACAGAGGAATGTAAGTTCAGATAGGCGGATCAGCGACTATCGTAAAGCCCACGTTTGAGCGCCCGGTCAAGCAACATGACAACTGAGCGCGACGAAACCCAGCGAGGTTAACATTAAAGGATATAAAGGATAAAGCATCCTTTGGCGTCTTGATCGATCCCGTTTGGAAGGACATGCGGCACGCATTCTACTTCCATTTGTACATTCGCAGTGGCATTTGAATGCGATGTGGCCTATAACAATGACTTGCGGGGGCAGCAGCCGATGTCAAGTCAGTGTTTTTATCCTCCCAGACAAGTCTGGTACCAATTAACCGACCCCGGAGGGATGGAAGGCTTGGTTGGCCCGGGCGACTCACGACCCAGGATTTGATCCCCGGACCGCTCGCGTGGTGAGCGCGCCACTTGTCACTGCACCACTTCCGCCCAAGTGTTAACATCTATACAAATTTGATACATTTATTCTCGTTGCCCCAGCTCATGGGTGCGCTGTGACATAACAACAGAAAGGGCCGTTAGAGGTCCTGATAGCATCTGCCGATCGAGATGACGCAAAGAGGAACTGATAAAATATCGCTGGAATACGCAGATCTGTTGGAAGATAAGGGCCTGAGGATTCGAAAGAAAGGATCCGCACAGGTCTGTGGGGCGGGAGGGGGTGGGCGGCTGTGGAAAGCGGAAGAAAGCGCGTTCTTAAGAGGCAACAAATCAGCTGCGCGCGCACGCGACTTAGCTAGCCACTGCAAAGTGTACCAAGTGGCTGATGAGAAGGATCTCAAGGTATGACGTTTCAGCAACAGGGCGTAAGTGAGGTCGAGTCCAGGAAGCGCACCAACCACGAAGATCTGATAACCAGCGAGGCGCGGGGTGCCCAAATGAGAGTGGCCTCTTTGTAGATCTTAAGACATGCGAAAACCCAGGGGTACGTCAGAGAGACTAGGACGCCAAGCTATTCTCAATGAATAACTTTGTTGGACCTGCCAACATTGACGGTGGGGATAAGCATATCAAGACTTACATTAGGAGTGCCAGGAATTAGGTGAGTAAAGCTTGATTCGATACAAGACTTAACATAGGAGTGCCAGGAATAGTAGTAAAGCTCGAGTTCACGAAGATTCAAAATGATGGTAGCAGTGTGTGTCGCTGAACAACATTAACGTTACGAAGGCCCAAAGCGCGGCCGCCTAAGAAGCTGGGGAACATCTAAATATAAGACAGCACACAGTGAGCGATCACGTCGTTGTTAGTAACATCCGATACAACGTAAATAATGTCAAGGCAAACTAGAAATATTTTTCGTTGATCTAGCATAGAATGACCATGGGTATAATCGAACCAACAGTCAGCAAGGAAGTTCCACCTGTGCTAAATACGACATACTTGACGACAAATGCTTCCAAAGAGAGGCATTGGAATGGCATTGTGCACATAATCATGTTTTAAGGAGTTGGTCACTTTTATTACACTCTTGCCAACTCTTTGCGGGAGCTAGGCACGCTATGCAGTGGAAAGGCAGACATGGCCGAAATAATGACGTGACATTCGTAAGAGGGACAATAAACTCGTAATTCTGGAGTGGAAATGTTGCTGCCCTTAGTTCCACATCTCTCCATTAACCAACTTTCGCAGCTTTGTTTTCGTTCAACAAAGTTCAGCATGATCATCAATCATTCAACACAATTAGCAGTCAGCGAGTTCTATAGCGCCCTCACTTCGGGATTCCAGTTATGAGATCTCTATTCCAGCTTATCGTTAGATTCTGACAAGTCGCAGTTTTCCGCGTAGCTACTAATTGAATTTTAGGCTTACCCCGTAAGATCATTATGACCAAAGCTCATAATACTCTGAGTATTGATGACGCACATCCAAAGAGTCAAGCAGCTTACCATTTCAAGAAGGATGAAAAATATAAGTTGTTGCTCCATTTCATCTGTGACTTTCCTCAAAATGAGGAAATTATTGAAAAGTCGCCACCAAGTGCGCCACGGTGTTCCCGGCACATAAGCGCCAGGTGCACGTCCCCGGTAGACCTCCACCAAGGTCCCGGGTTCCGCCACCGCCGACGCCTTGATGACGACAGAACTTTCCTGTTGACTGATCTTCTTCGCCGATGTCTTCTATTCTTGAACGCTTCGAATACTTGGTGTACGGCCTCCACTGCTTCGTTTGCTGCCTCCTCACTCGTCACGGCCTCCTCCGCTTCTTGAGTTGCTGGCCTGATCGCCAGTCGGATGCTCAGGAACACACTGAGGGGAATCATTTATTCTACTCGAGATCGCCCCTTTTATCATCCTTGTTTACTTCCTCCTAGTGATCTTCTTCATCCGTAAAGGGCTTCTGTAGAGTAGACCTTATGTCAAACGAAATCGTGAAATGGTTGCTGAATAATTACTATACCACTCAGTGGAAGGTTTTTCAGAAACAAAGATCGGGTTCAGTCTATAACATCACTGATAGGAATCTTGACTTTTTCGAACTTATAACTTTGAACCCTCCATCTTCATTAGAGTGAATGTGCTGATGACGACTTGAGTACAGGCAATAGTTCATCGAAGCTTTGTGTATGTAGCGAGAGAAAGGACGCCCCATGTCTTTTCTTTATAAAGCACCTATCAATGGCAGTCATGTGTTGTGGGAGAAATGGAAGGGCTCTAATCGATGAACGGTCATGGAACTTAGTCATCTCCTTGTATTTCACTGTCACTAACATCACAATATACATCCTTCGTCGTGAGTCGCCGCAGATACTCTTTGAAATTAGGCAGTCAAAGAGGAGTTGGAAGAGAATGAGTATATGGTATAGGGAACCATGGAATTATGAGCAGTAACGAATTTCCACTCCAGATTTACGTTATTGTCCATGTCCTTCTTACGAATGTTACGGTGCAATGTGGCTTGCGGGAGGTGGGGAAGGGGGCCATCACGCAACATCGCGCCATCGCTTTACGAAAACACTCAGATTTGGGACCAAAGCTTTGAGGAGGAGAGGGATTTCGAAGTGCGTGCGGAAGCAATTTTTCTATTCTCTGAATTCGTCCCTACTGCCTAGGCTTAGTCCTTGAAGCCTTTTCACAGACTGCCCCCTCCCCCGGCCACATTACCGCCCGCAATTTCATTTGATCATGAGTGCCTCTCTGCATACCATCAGCGAAAAAGTATCAATTTGAAGTGGAGCTGTTGATCTCTCGTAGCCATTGAAAGCGTAGCAGCAGTGCACATGGGTTAGCCTGCCTTACTCCTGCATTGAGCTAGCAAAAGATCACTAAAAGTGATCAACACCTTAAACCGAATACTTGAGCAATACCATTGCAATAGTGCGCATTGCGTAAGCGTTTGTCGTCAAGAACGATGTTAATTGTGTGCGCACGCCGTGAATGCATTCTGCTTGCTGCGCAACTGATTAAAGGCAAACCCGGATTGGACCGAATATGTAGGGTGTACCACTAGGGAAATTGCAAGGTCTGTAACTGCCTAGATCACTCCGCTTCGTCGCAAAAATTGCGCGGTTAGGGCGCTGTTCCTTACGGGCCGGCAACCATCGACCCAATTTCCAACGCTCCCCACCCACCGCGAGAGGTGGTGAGATCAGCGTGCTCTCTCAAACGACGTGCTCTCTCGCGTATTTTGTCTTCTTTGACCGCCCTTTCTCGCCATCGTACCACATCCGACCCTGTTGAAGGTTAAGGCCTTAATTTCAGCGTTCCCAAAGATTTCTCTTGCTTTCCTTCCCACTTTCAGGTCGTTCCGCAGCTAAGCTATCACTACAGAAGCGCTGATAGCACCAGTTCAATCCCGGAGTTTGCCTTTAAAGTAGCCCTAGCTTAGTGCTGAGTGACATCCTTGCAAAAAAGCGTGACGGAGGCTATGAGCTCGCATGGCTTGCATTTGTGCCCACGGAAGCATCGAACCCCAGAATCACCCACCGTCGCGAATGCGCTGGTGTCAGGGTCCCAGTGAGCATCTCCTTCACTTAATATTCTGTTTCATTGTCTCGAGCCACGGTGTATATAGATGACATGCCTCTTTCGCCACGGACTCGTCCTCCGCACAGCGAAACCAAATCCGTATTTTCAGTGTTTTGTGTTTTCTGAGGTCTTTTCCCTTTTTCTTCTTTGGTAGTTCACCGGTACTTTGCGCCTCATTCACATTTGAGCAATCGCGGATTAATGTGACTTCCAAAGTTGAGCTTGTGGTCCAAAACAGTATCTGCTGATGTCACCATGCAAAATGGAAACTGTTTTCGGTCTTACGTTAAAATATTGGACGAGTCGAGAAATTGAAACTTGGCACAATATTGCGAAAGTTTATCCTCACATGCATAGACATGTTGCAAATTAGAGAAAATTCATTGAAGCGAATAAAAAATTATTTGAAGAAGCAGTTAATAATCATGTTGTGTCTAACGATGCCAACTCCATAATCGCAGTAGCATCCGAACCGTGTGAAATGATCACATTTGTTTACCTGAATGAAATAGATAAAATAGGATTCAGCCGTGAGCAAGGTGTACTGACTCGGAGCCGTATGTAACACACCCCTCCCAACGAATGGCTTCCATCTACACGACCGTCCTGTATACAGAGTCAACCCTGCGTTGCGCAGTTCTCAACGGCCACGTTGCGCAGTTTCGCCCGATTAGACACGTTCTCTCGCGCGAACATTCACACTCGCATGCTCGAGCCGTCTGTGTCTCCGCCCATACAGCGTGCGTTGAGGATCTCTCAACGTGCCGTTGCGAACTGCGCAACGCACGGTTGACTCTGCTTGTATATATTCTCGACGAGCGATAGGGAGGAACCCCGTTAAACTGTGAGGATTCGTCGCCGGTCGTGGAGTACCGGGGGAAGGAAAAGCTCACTGGTGGCGCGGACGCGAACGCGGCTGGTGACATGAAAATGACGTCGCAGCTACGGCAAACTGGAAGGAAGGACAAGCGCTTGGTTTCTGGCACTACCAACTTGTTCAATAAGTTATGCCACCAGCGAAAGATTCTGCTACGTGAAGGCACAAGGTATTGGATTCTGAAAACGAGCATTTCTGTGTAAGCGTTAGGGGCACACAGTCAAGGTAGAGTTGATTAAAACAAGTTCGTTCTTCGAATTCGAACTCTACTCACTTCTACTTATCATCACAGTGAAAAAAGAGCACGATCAATGTTCGGGGCACTCATTCATTGATAGTAGGGCCGGCCTTTACTTGTGCCCTGGCCGTCACAGTGACGTCACCAACACGCGTGCGCGCTGCAGGTGAGCTTTTCCAAGGAGCCTGGAATGCAAGGCCCCGTGGCGGCGCTTTTTAGGCAAATCGCATCTATTTAAGTTGATTAATAGTGATATGTTGTCATTATACTACTGATTGAAATCGCCGTTTCGTGGGTGTTGTGTCATCAGGTGCTGTTTTTGCTCTCGCTTTCTTTGTTTTTTTTTGCTCGCGAGCTGTGTAGGTAGCTATATGTACGTAGGTAGCTTTTTGAGAGCCGTTTGGGTGAGTAAGAAACAAAAAGCAAAAAGGCTTGCCATTTGTGAGCGCGAAGAATTCAAATGAAGATCAAAATGGGATCAAATGAAAGCAATAAGCATGAATTCTCTGTGTTTTATGTGAAGCTGCACCCTGCCGGTTCTCGAGGGGTTCCAAACTAACAGTGAGGCTACTTATCGATAGCTCGCGCAAAGAAAGCCACATTCAAATGGATTGACCATGGCAATGACGTACCATGCTTTTAAAATTGTCATCCTTGTTGAGAGTCAAACGTATTTTCTCTTCCATGGTTCGGTTAATATTCTCTCCTTCGAAGAATTCAATGGAAAACATCTCTTTATGATCTTTCGGTGTCAACATATGCTCGTGTTCTGATCCTTGCTTTCGAGCCAGCTCCTCTAAGCCACTGTCCCACTCCTGTAAACAAATTAACGTCCTTAAATAAGAGTTTGGAGACTCCAATCATCCTAAAAAAATAACTGTCTCTTCCCAGTACGCCACGTTTGTTATCGCCTATGATCTCATATCATAATGAGAGAGGTATATAAACCTCATTGGTGGAGTAAGGTTCACTTATTGAGTTTAGCTCATTCTTCCATGTAAATAGTGGGTTTCTGCAATCAACGGCGGTTCTATTCACAACATGTCTACCGCGGCAGCGGAAGTAAAGAAGAAGCAAGAATTTGGCGTGGTAATACCGGAAAATCCAGTACTACCACTCCAAATTCTTCGATACAGAAACCAGTATACACATCGTCCAATACCACGGTATGGTTATAATCAATGTCACGTCTTCAGTTCACCTTTGCAAGATCTTCAAGGAGTCATTCAGTTCAACCACTTCTTTCGCGCCTAGACATACCCAGTTTCTACGGGAATCCTTGAGATCTCACAGTTTGGACAGGTTACAACACCTTGGTCCATTCGAAGACAACGCTCTCAAGATCAACAAAATTTCTTTGCTCAGAAGCTGGTTAAAGCGAGATATAACGATAAAGTGTGTGTGCAGCGCAGAAGTACATGCACCAATGGAAGCAGTAGTCAGCGGCCGAAGGAAGCAAAATGTGGCGCTAAAGGTGCGCTAGCAGCAGAGTTCTGGGCTTACCATTCCCTTTTGAGCTCCGCCACCGCCTGTGATTCCGCCTCCTCAGCAGCCGTTGCTTGGATTATCATTTTGATAAGTTATTGCACTTCGAACGCTTATCCTATAACATTCTCCATTGGAATGCATTGTCAATTAAATCATGGCCTTTGCCAGTATGATGGTGGCTATCGGTTCAACATTTGCAAACGACCTCTTGGTTGATTCTAGCTCGTCCACTATCGGAGATTGACGGGCAGAGAAAGCGGTCTCATTTTGCGCGTTTCCCTCAACGGTTCTTGTTGCTTTTTTCGTCACAATCCATTATTACAGACATCACGCCGCTTCCACTATGAATAGAACCCAATCCTTTCGTAGTCCCACGCTTTGAAAAAACACTGGAGTGCATTGAAGGAATCACGGAGACTACAATACAGCCATCAATATTTTGCAACAGGTGTATGACAACCCATCAGCTCTTCGTCACTTATCTACACTGGGATAGCAAATCGACAACAGTGTGAAATTTAAAAATATTTACCACCCCACTATTCCGGAGGGTATCAGTACGACCCCCTCCTGTGTTATCTAGTGTTATGCCCTTTAACATACTGTTATGCCCATCATTTATGAACCGTCACCGTCATGGAAGGGTGGTGGGCATTGGAAAGTTCGCGCAGTTTGTCTCACTCAGAGGACAGGAATCGAGCAAATAAGAACTTCACCATCAAATAGAAGTAGTTTCCCAAGATTCTGCATAAACCTAGGCATGATTATAAGCGTAGAATTTCTCCTTCCAGAATAACTGCCGAGAAAAGAAAACTTCCTCCCTGATTTCTTCTCACTGAAAGCGTATTTCTTATCCTCCAGACATGGACTGTCACGAGCGTGTTGTAAAACACGTGAAACTGCTTCCATTGAGACACTAACTTTTGAAGAAGTTTTGATTTCCGTACCCGTCTGGATAAAGTCGTATTATTTTCTCACGATACGGCGCTTATCTCGGTCGGATAGTAATCAGGGTTCTTCCCAGAATCATATCCTGTAGCATCCTTGAGAAACTTGTTCGTTATGAAGCCACTCCGCCCGACATAGGAGAATTCTAGCGTGAGCTGACACTTCAACAACTCCTGCGTCTCTTTTGCTAGGGTTTTCCTTTTACGGAAGTTCGACAGCGGTTTTGCCTTTGCTATAAGCTAAGGGACTTGAGTGGGTAATAATTTCAAAATTTGATTGGGTAAAAGCAAAATGCAGCAGAGAAACATGTGGTGGAACTATGATTTTGCGTCATAGGCAAGTCGGGTATTTTCGAAAAAATGAGGATAAAAAATTTTTGCTTCCTCAAACTGGATTTCCGTGATAATATTCAGATTCGCATTTGCATGTGTCACAATTTGTCTGTAGAGCCCTTTTCAAAAACATCTCCAAATTCTAGTTTTTGGGAAATTTCTGTAAGGTGGAACTAAGATATGCGTCGCAGTGTATTTTATGTTCTCTTCTACGCATCGATCGACATCGATCGATTATCGAACTCGTACGTCTGTGTTCCGAGCTAACAGATTTCTTAAGCAATTCATTAAAGCACGGCAAGGCTTGGACAGCTCACCTTTACGAGCTATGGTCACAAGAAGCGCAGACTTTAACAGCTTTGTGTGTTTGAACCATAAGATAAGAGCATGCTTGGTGCATCTCAGAGCAGGAGTTGTTAGCGCTCAACGTGTTAGATTTGATTTATCGCGAGCGAAACATTCTTCAAAGGACCTTCCATGTTTCATGACCAACCAAAGAGGAGCAAGGCAGTAACATGAAAGGATTGATTTCTCGAGAATAGGAAGAGCTTCGAAAAGTTCAACAGTTTCGGTTGTTGAAGGGAGCTAAAAAGTGCTCACGATTTTCTAAGGGATTAAAGTTTATGGAATGAGTGTGGATTCATCAGAATTCCCACATTATTCCTGTGGAACACAAACCAAACTTCTGATGTTGGACTTGGGTTATCGAGAGCGGAAATGGGATTCGGCCAGCATGTCGTAGCGACGCCATTGCCCCTCTGCCTGAAATTCAAGAAAGACTGACCAGATCATTGCGGTAACCGCGTATTGTGGTCCCCATAGGGATTCGGCAAGTCGTCTTCTCTCCTTCTGAAAAAAAAGGATCATTATTTCTTACTCTTTAGCTGAGGGTCGCTTCCAGTAGATTGGAAAGTGTACACCAAAAAAGAGACACTGAGCATCGATACCCTAACTTACCAAAATCGCACTGACATTCGTGGGCGCAGATGTCTGTTAGAAGAAACGGCAGTACTGCGAAAGCGAACAACATTTTGATGAGACGGAATCTTTACAATGCCCACCTCTTTGGTGGGCGGAAAGAGTGCACTTTAGCTTCATCCAGACACACCTGCTGAAGCATATTATTGTCGAACAGTTCCATCCATCGCACTCTTTTTCAGGGCATGCCCTGATTCAACAACATACATCATTGCGCGATGGAAAAGCTTGTTCGAAAGCTGGACAAATGATACGTTCATCCTCATGACTGTCAGATCTTCAACCATCTCTCAGTCATATGCTTACGGTAGCACTATCAACCATTATTTGCGAGGAATAGAGCCAGGTAGTTCCTTATTCCCTGTCATGGACCACATTTCCCTGGACATTTTATGGAAAAAGAGAATGAAAATCCCTATAACTAGGGGAGGTTAATTGGTTTTTCTGGTCATACATGTGTGTCTGGAATGTTTCTGCGTCGTTCTCTCTTTTTTTCTTTTTCTTCTTTACCCTAGCTCATTCGGGCAGTCCCAGGGTACCTGATGTGTGTACCCATGTACAGTAGCGGTCAAAAGTTTGGAAACTTTTCATTTTTGATCTAGCGCGGCCGACACATAACGAAATTGCCTCAAATTTAGATATTACATACAAAATCAAGTCCAGAATACGACGGGAAGAATAATTTCCAAAAATCTATAATCATATTTGAGAAATAAGATTTTTTTAAGTAATGGCGCGTCAAAAGTTTGGAAACTTTTTGTTTCCCTCATCATTATGATTCCTACTCTTCAATGTTTACTTGTTTCTGTTAATTTTAGTTCAACCATTGAGTAATGTGTAATTTCAAAATGAATTCATATGCAAAGGAAGCAGTTTTTCCATGGGAGGTCCTTTTTTAAACCCTACAATCCGGAATACGAAATTGAAACTGTTTCTTAGTAGTTCAGTCTCTACGGAAGCAATATTATCGAATGTTTCTAGCGTTATTGGAGTCGAGTAAGCATAAGAAGAATGATCATTCACAAAAAAGTATCCTCACAAGAAAATTGGCCCTCCTCAAATACTTCGAAAGGGTGGTTGGCACGTCCCGTACCCCCGACATTCCCAACTAAGAGACGACTTTTTCTGGTTTTTTCCTAATCATATGAAAGTCCAAGTGCAGCCAACATCGGCCGCGACCTGGTGAATATTACGGATGATGTCCCAACAAGAAGCCATTGTTGGGCTTCAAGACACTAACGGCTAACATGGACCGAGGCGAGAGGTAAAACTTTGTCCTCAGCGGCGGATTTAATTTCCGTCTTTTTGAAAATGATGTTGTGGACCCTGTGAAGTGTTTTGTCAAGCTCATCATTTTGAGTATAAGATTCCAACAGTCAGAAATAGTGGAAGTATTGTCATGGAGATGTGTCCGACCATTCGGCGATTCCCCAGTTCTATGTATCCAGCGAAATGTGGGTTGGGCTAAGTACAAGAATAGTCTGTAGAATACAATGCTTCCCTTCGATAGTCAGAACTAGCCGGAAAAGATGGGTTTTCTATCGCGGAAATGACCCAATGCAGGCCTACCTCCTCACTGCCGCCTTCCTAAACCCAGAAAAAGCTGTTATGAAGCGACCAAGTCAAGATCTAAAGTCTAATTGAGTTCTACATCCCACGGAAGAACTGGCATGTCGCTCAACCCACATTCCAGTTAAGAATCCCACCAAACAATGTGATTTAGTTCACAGTGTGTAGGGTTCGACTTAAAAGTTCCTCAACTCCATGTCAATAAAAACGACGCTGACATAGAAATTCACAGCTACTCATCGAATAACTAATTTATCATGTAGATTCGAGAGCTATTTTGCCGAATTCGCTTTGGAATTGAGAAGTTTCCAAACTTTTGACGCGCCATTTCTTATAAAAATTCGTATTTTTCAAATGCGAGTCCCTTTTCCAAAAAATGATTCTGTATATAATATGTGAATTCGGGACAAATTCATTGTCTATCGGCTACGCTAGATCAAAAATAAGAAAGTTTCCAAACTTTCGACCGCTACTGTATTTATGTTTATTCGGTTGCAGAAACAAGCTTAAAAAGGAAATGCAGCAGATGTGAAAATCACAACAGATAATCAATGCGAACAGTGATAAAGCCGTTGTGCGAACTACAATCTAACTGGATTAGGGAACAAGTGCAAGAAACAAAACACGCGACAAGTGGGTGGTGTACATCTAGCACGGTGACCAGGCTACATAGTTAATAGCTTTACTGCCACCTGATGTCTGAACCACCTCAGCAAACAAGTAATGCCTACATTTTTCGTCGACTCCTGCACCACTGAATTCGTCTCGAGACGTCAAACTCAAAACTGCATTCCATATCTGCTATTAATAGTCAAAATGGAATTCCAAAACAGTAATCGCGGCGGCAGTGGTTCTGAATATCATATCATAGTGTGTAAGTACGATGGGCTGCATATCTCATCAAAATCGAATGTCACAATTGAAAATTCGATTGAAAAACTAGCGTATCAAACGTTTACAATAGTTTATAACATCAAATGAAGTTCCGGCACTATTTCCACCATTACTGCTCCAAAACTTCAAGATTTTTTTTGCTGAAACTCCGTCCTTTGAGGGCTTATTTGAGATCCTGATTATGACGGATATGACATCCGTTTTTGCCGCTGGCGCCATTTGGCACCACGGCTGTTTTCACCAATTCGCTG